TTTTAATTTTTTCATGTGTGCAGAGTGAATGATCAGCAATCAAGAGCATGCAACAGAAGTGCGCTTCTCTCTCTGTTTACCGTCAGTTAACGTTAGTAATTCAACGTGTGCCTTGTTTTACTTTATTTGCTATCAACATATCCGACCGATGTACAAACTTTCCAGCAATGTCTGCGCGCTCAATCCACTCCACGTTTGCTTATCAGCTCGCGCACAGCACCAGCTATATAGACATGAATGTTTCATTTGTTTAATATTCGATACGTTTACTTCATAGAGATCCTTCTCTGATATATTCTGTTCTCTGTTTGCTATGTTGTCGGTTTTTCTTTGTCACAAGCACTGAACTGTGCATTGGAGCATTTTAATGCGTATGAGTACAGGACATAGACTGTAAAAAAGATGGCCGACGCTCCTTCACTCTCTTCAGTGTCCCAATACGGCACTGACGTCTTGCGCTGATGCGAGACCCGAGTCTGCGCAGTAGTGACTAGTGAGCGTGAGTCAATCGCAAGCACGCGGTCCTGAACCTTTTTCAAGTCGCCTGACTGCTAAACAGTTATGGAAAATGTAGAAATAAAAGTTCCAATCTCTGTTAGCGCTTCAGTGAATACTTCGCTCAGAGAAGCTGTCAATCATAATGTAACACCCCCATTTTTATAGCATCAAATAACTAAATAAAACCACATTTATTTATGAAACGAACACTTGAACTTACCTCAGCATGATAAAAGCTACATTAAATGAGAGTAACCATCTTTGGAAAAAAATATTTGTAGTGTAATTTAATTGTTTAGTTTGTCTCACGTCCCATTACATTACATAGAGAGGGTGGGGTTTATGAGCTATACTGGGACCCGCCACCGGTATCAGTGCATCCCTCATTTCTGTTAGCATGATTTTTCACAACATGTCAATGTTACAAATAATGTAGTTAGATGTCATGACGTATTTATGTAAAACAGTATATGTGCTTGTATATGATTTTGTTGTTGCTGTTGTTTCTATTATTGCAGGACTGTGCCCATCTTTCTCCTTCACTGTGCGCATCCCTGCACTCTCTGCCAGGTAATGTTTATATTTCCAATTATTTGTAGTCTGGTACAGCTCAAGGCATTTTGTTTAATGTTGATCATGTTGAAGGGTTGCTAAAGAAATTGTATATGCAATTACAATTTTGTGTAAAGTAATATTTTGTATACTTCCTTATATCATACATGAGTGAAATGTTGGCCTAATAAAATGAGGTAAACACAAAGACCAATTGGGCAAGGCTAAGATTTAATGATTTTTTTTTTTTTACCATGCAGCTCCACTTTTCAGCCTTGGAAACACAAGTTGAACCATGATAACCAAGTAAGTGTGTTTTCATATAAATATCACACAAAAGCAATGTGTACAATTGCACCATCCCTATTGATCTGAAGGACAGAGAGACCACAAGCTAACTCTAATCAGTGTTTAAAAACAGTTTGTTTTGTTTTGTGTTCTCCTTGCCATATCCTACCTTTTGCTATAATGAGATGCTTATGCAAAAGATTTTGACTTATGGAATTCAGAAGTAAAAAACCTTCTTGGTTCTCTTATTATTTTTATTTTATGGCTATAACCTGCAATTCAAAATCAACAAAGATAATAAAAGCAAAGAAAAATAAAGTATCAAGAAGCATTAACGTCAGTATACAGCATATCATGAATATTCAAATATGTCTGTTATAAAATGTCAACCCACCCTTTTTCCATTAGATCCCTAAAAAGATTCAAGAAGAGATTTCTGTCATTCATTAAAGAAGGTAAGAAAGCACAAGTTAAAACTGCTTCTGCTTGGATGAACAGTTACATGCCCTCTGCTTCGCTGCATCATTTTTCTCTGAAAATCTCATTAAAATAAGTCTAAGGAAAGACAGTATATGCATTAATATCACTGCAAACGTGGCACTGCTTGTAACACAAGGATGGCTGTGACTGCAAGCTGCCGCTACCCTCGATGTCTGAAGCTGTAACAGATCGTCTGCTGTTCACTGACAGACGTACTGCATTAAAGAAAGAATCGCCCGTGATCGACTACAATGTTGTCATGTTTTGGAGACTCCCATTTTGTGGTAATGGGACTGTGTAGAGCACGTGTGCAAATACTGAAAGCAGATCTTGACCAGGAACAAGATCTGCGATGTTTGCACAGAACGTCTACACAGAGTATTACTGTAAAGTGTGAGAGATGCCAAAACATGCCTCTTACGTTTGGAAGAAGCTGAGATCGCAGCAGATCGTGGATCGAGAAGATGCGTCCCACCTGGATAACACCTGGACAAATGTGAGTTTCTCCCAAAAATATCTCCGTAAAGTGACAAAGACACTTTTTGTGGAACCAAATGGCTCCAGGAACGATGGAAGAAAGGTGACCCTAAGTACACTTAATATAAATGACTGGCGTCAGAAACACACAAAGCATCATATTCAGTGGTATTATCATACGTATATAACACTTGTGCTTTTTTCTGATTAGAGAGGCACGGCTGCTTTTAATATACACCACATATGGTTTTAATAAATGATACTTTCCTGTATATTCACTCAAATGCTGTTCAGTCAGATGTGTGAAGCGGTTCAATCACTGAATAATAGAAAGAAGAAGCAGCTCAAACTAGAGAGCAAGACTAGGATCAGTCACTGTTGATGGTGAGGAAAATGCTGGAGTAACAGGCCACTGGACAAGACAGAGTTGCACACATCTCATCAGCACAGCTTGCAGGTGACTTCTGGACTTATTCACTGGCAGATTCTGCAGGATTTGAAAGCATTCAATCGTCAGAAAGTTTCCTGGTGTCCGTTTAGTGACACTGTCCAGCAACACTTCTTCAGCTGAAGGACTGCAGAGAATTATTGTGAATCACTGACGTCGCAGTCTGATATTGCTCAGATTGTGTGAATAGTGCTGGAGACGTTCAGAAAAGCCTTTCCTGGAGTCGCATGTTCACTGATACAAGACATTTATTCCATGCAGCACGGACGAGAAAAGTGTC